CGGCCCGCACTGGCTACCGCGAGCAACCCGACTTTTTCCTACGGCGTGTGCGGAGATACTGATCCCCTGAACTCCACGATCAACGCAGCGGCATCCCAACTAACGTCGGTCTCGATAAATCCGTCGTCCAGCTCGCCCATGGCAAGTCTTTCGGGATCCCATGCGGCAGTTCCTTCATCACACGAGGCATCAGTAGTAAGTTCTATCTCTTTTGGGCTTGAAGCATTAGTAGTCATTGCTAATCTGATCCGATCCGATCCTAACTTCTAGACACCTGGTGCGACTATCGATGCTGAACATCTCAGAAAGCATAAGCGCTATGCCGGCAGTCACCACCGACATGGGCATGCAAGGTAGATATTTGGGGGGAGGGGGAGGTTGCAGGTCCATCATGGAGAATCGACTCGTCCGAAGCACGGGGTCTAGTCACGTTGCCAAGCCAGGAAAGCACCAAAAAGAAAAAACAGCGACTCTAGTCAGATGGAGCTGGGATATTGGTCTTAGCAATGGCATGGAGAATTCTTTCATGTATGTGCTGTACATAAGTGTTGGCCGTGTGTTGTAAAATGTTACTGTGGTGAGAAATCCTGCTCATCAAGGGGAGAATACGTCACATTGCTTAAGCTCCAGCAAGCAGTAAATTCCCTTGAGTAGGGCAGTGATTCTCCAAATATGTACTCCGTAATTCAGTACACATTGGGGACTCGTGTGTTTTCTCCTATGAGCTTTCTAAGTATTCTAACCCTAACTCCTACCTGCCCTCAATCAAACCTTGGCAGGGATGAACAAGCACAATGTTCTTTAGTCAGCAAGCGACCGACCGACCAACCAACCACGTAGTTTCTTTCGGTATTTCAATGTTAAAACTAAGGTAGTACGGAGACCTATTGAATTAATCCCGTCCCGCTTCCATCCCGAGCGTCTCTAGCACCAAAGGCGTGGCGTGCTCTTCAAGCTCAGCTCCACCGGGCCATTCGAACCCTTCGAAATTTGATTCAACAACAATTCTGATGACTTCAAGTTCAGTCTTACCTCTTGAGATTTTTGAGCAGATTGTGAGCTGGCTTGAATATGAGAGTGACATAAATGCTCTCGCTCGTACCCATAGGGCTTTCTACCATTTTGGGAACCCGATGCTGTACCGACACAATGTGCGCCATGGGAAAGGCTCGGCGTTAGGCTGGGGGGTCCAACATGGAATTTTGGCGACCGTGCAACGAGCTTTTGAGGCCGGCGCCTCGGCAGAAAAGTGCGGCGATGCCGAGATTGAATGGCGACCGATGGCGCTGGCGGTGGTCGAAGGCCACGAGGACATTGTGTGGTACTTGTATGAACACTGTAGGGTCAATATTCGTCGCACGTGGGGATGGATGAATCCTTGTCATGAGAGATATGGCAAATATCCCGGCAGTCTGCTGCTGCTGGCCGCCCAGAATGGTCATGAGAGCCTCGTTCGCTTCTTCGTGAATCACCTCCCGCGGCCGTACCATGTCGATCATCCAGCGGATCCGGGTGAAGGAACGCCGTTGATGGCGGCTGCCAAAGGGGGGCATCTAGCCATCGTACACCTGCTAGTCGAGGCGGGAGCGAATCTCGAGGTCCAGAATCGCAGTCAAATGACCCCGCTCATGTTAGCCGCGGCGCACGGTCATCTGCAGGTTCTACAGTTCTTGATGCAACAGGGCGCTGACCCCACCGTGACCCAACCGAACGGCTGCTCTGCCCTGTGTTGGGCAGCGGGGAGGGGGCACGTCGAGAGCGTTCGCTGCCTGCTCGAGGAGGATGTGATTACACGGTTGACTTGCCACACTTTGGGGCCGTCGGCGCGGCATCACGCGGCCATCTGTCCCCTCGGGTGGAGCGGATGGTTAAGGCACGACGAGGTAGTCGCCCTGCTTCTAAAGAAATGGGACTATGCAGCGAGGACGAGTCACCCATCCGATAAGGGTGTACTCTTATGCGTGGCTGCGGGCCTTGGATATACGGCCCTAATTCGGGACCTGCTTGAGAACCATGAGTACGATCCCAATGCTCGATTGAGTCTGATTCGAACGCGGTGGGATGAACTACCGACGGCTCTTTGCTGGGCTGCCGCCCGAGCTCGCGTCGAGGTGGTCGAGGTACTCCTCGCGCATGATGCTGAGGTTTTGCCGGCGCAGACGCGGGAGTACCGGAATCCTTTCATCCAGGCCATTGTCCACGGTTCAGATGCCATGGTCTCTCTCTTTCTGCGCGCCGGGGTAAACCCCAACGACCAGGATCGAAGTCACAACTTGGATCACCTTGTAGCTCCGGCGCTGAAGCATGCCATCCCATTCGAGAGCATCTTCCGCCGCCTGCTTGTCGCCGGGGCTGACCCTACCGCTGTTGACAGCATGAAGTACTCGGTCATTGCCCATGTCCTAAGATCCGGCCGGACGGTCGTCGTCCAGATGCTTATCGATGAGGACCTGGATCTCTCGCTCCACTTGACTCGCTCCAACCTGTTGCACGAAGCCGTCCGCGGCGGCCGCGCGGTCCTCGAGCTTCTCCTCAATACCGGCAAATGGGATTCCTTGCTCTCGCCCGGCCATCTGGACCCTTCCATCTGCGAGAAAGCTCTCGGGATTGCCGCGGAGACCGCGCAGGTCGAGGCTCTGCAGTGGCTGCTGGATCGAGGGTTTTTGCCAGTCCGAGGTGCCCAGTCGCCGCCGCCCAAGGTCCATCTCCTGAGCCTTGCGGCACTCACAAAGGCGGCCGATGAGGACGCCGCGGCCACTCTGGATCTCCTTCTGCAGGCCGGTCTAGACATCGATGAGACGATCGCCTACAAAACCGCGCTGCAGAGTGTGGCCCGGCATTATAACCTGTTTGGAGAGTCGGAACGCTTTCGCGTGCGCTCGCGCATGCTGCTCGAGCGCGGTGCCACTCTGTTGCCGCCCCAAAGCCTCCCGCAGGCCACGCGCTACGACACCCTCTCGGGATTTAACATCCGCCTCATCGGTCAGCACCCTGAGCTTGACGTCATGATCTTTCAGGAGTTGGAGGCACGCCGTGAGCCGTGGTCGGTGGTAAAACATCTGTTCAGGTGGGCGGACCATCGTGCGCGCGAGCGCCAGAATTGGAAGCATGTCCGGGTCATCACACAGCACTCGTGGCGATTGCGGTACCCTGTTTGAACTCGCTTCCTGTATGTGCTGGAGGCTCTGCCTCGCATTGGTGGTAACAGTGAGAAAGGTACCCAGGATATGGATAACTGAATGAATGACTCACCATCACGATGGAAAGAAATGCCTCCCCCGTGGAACTGTGGCACACAGTTGTCATGGCAATGACGTTTCAGTTATTATTGACATAATCCAGAACCCGAACATCCAAAGAGGTGACCAAATTGGCCCAGAGGTCAATTTGCGAGATGTAATCGAGGCAATATGGTATAATCTAAAACCAACTAGAATTCCCAGATGTATATTGCATAAGTAATTTAGAAGTATTCCAGAGTATACACAGATGATTTACGTGCTGTCCTTATGACAGTGGTGGTACCCTAATAGGGTAAGTAAATAGGAATAACAGTAAGCCAGTTTACCTATACACAAATGGGCTACTTACATTTGTCCCGTTTATAGATTAGAAAGAGGCAATATAACGATATTCCTACCAACTCGGTGCTAAAGACGTAAACCATCGAGTCATGAGAAGAAGAGGAAACAGGAAAGAAGAAACACGAGCCCGCGGCTTATCTGCGGTTCTGGGATGCCATCCGCGATGGGAGGTATGGCGATGCAGTGTGGGCGCGATATCACATCGGCGGTGATGTGGAGGATGACATCGTTGATGGCTCCAACGGTAATGTGACAGTCCTCGGGGTCCTTAAGGAGGATGCCCTGGATGTCATTTGCAACCTTGATGAAGGGGAGATGCAGGATCTTATCAGAGTCGAGTCCATTCGACTCTAGGTTGATGAGTTACCAGTCGGAAATAGAACTATGTCACTTATGGATTGACGTGGTGGGATACCTGTTTTTGTTCTTTCTTCATCAATAGTAGAAGGTTGGATGAATATTATAAACTTGGTAACTCCGCGTTCAACTGGCCAGCACGCCTACGGAGTAGCTCCCTCCCTCCCTCGCCCCCGTCCTCAGACATACGGAGCCCACTGCTTCTCGCACCACTCCCAAAGCTTCGCTCCATACCCCAATCCCTCTTCCTCCGTGGAGGCACCCGCCTTGATCAGATCCTGCCGCCCCGTGGCCGAGTCCGGTCGAACGCGTCCCCAGGGGATGATATACGCCCCGCTGTTCTCGAGCGTGACCTCGGGCGACAGCCCCGCAAACAGCTCCGTATACGCCCCGTAGATGGGCTCCGAGAGCATGATCCGGTTGATGATGAACATGACGAGGGCCGGGGTCCCGTTGAACGACGCCGTCTTCAGGTAGCCCGGGTTCAAGCATACACTGACAATCCCATCCTTCTTGTACCGGCGCGCGAACTCCCGGCTGAGGAACCAGGTGCCCGCTTTCGACACCCCGTAGTTCTGCGCTAGCTTGTTGGTCCCCTGGTCGATGACCGCCCAGTCGATGCCGTTGGGCGGCGAGCCCACCTCCGCCAGCGCACTCGACGTCCAGATCACGCGCGTTTGGCCCTTGTCGGGGGAGGCGGCCGCAGCGGCGGCGCGGAGTTGCGGGAGGAGCAATTGGGTGAAGAGCAGGGTCGCGATGCAGTGGCGGCCGATGAACAGCTCGAAGTCCTGCAAGGTGCGTTCGCCGAGAGGGACCGTGTTGGCGCCCGTGCCGGCGTTGTTCCACAGCACATCCAGCTTGGACTCCTGCTCCGCGAAGCTGGCGGCCGCGGCTGTCACGGTCTTTAGATCGTTGAGGTCCAGATGCAGGAACTTGAGCTTGCCGCTGGTGGTTGGGGTGTTGGATGACGGGCTTGTGATGGCTTGAATGGCGGCCTCGACTTTGGCCTGTGCACGGCAGTTGAAGGGAGAGACAATCAGAGTCTGTTCTGGACGGTATGCAACGGGATAGCTTTGCGCGCGCTTACCTTCGAACGAGAGGCTATGTAGATCGTAGCGCCACCGGCATAGAGGATCTTGACCAGCTCCAGACCGATCCCCGCATTGCCACCGGTCACGATATACACCCGGCCCTGCAACGAGCCGGCGGGGACATCGGCTCCGGTGAAAACGGGCTTTGGGGGGTAAATCTGGGTTAATGCGGCCCGTAGGCCGGTAAAAGGTGCCATCGCTGAGTACTTTCTACACTGTATGTGGCTAGGGGTTGAATTCCTGGATCAAGAGTGTTTGGTCCGATGTGGAGGAAGAGACTGGGGAAAGCCAGCTAGGGCTAGGTGATAGCTCCCCCATTTTGGGGAGCTCGAGCTTCAGATGGATTTGTAAGTCAGGCGAGACGATTTCTAAGCGCTAAGCAGAAAGACACGCATGCAATCTGTCTGAGTCGGTTGCGTAGACTTACCTCCGGTTGCTTGGCTGGGTGTGGTGTGATGAGTTAGTGATATATTAGATATAACTTATAGCTATTAAGAATTAACAAAGTCCATTTGCTAATTTATTATTTAATTATTAATAGAATAAAGTTATACTCAAGCTAATGTAAGCTGATTTTATTGCTTGTCTAGCTATTCTGAGATGAATTAATTCTCTAATTACCTGGAATTAAGGCTTTATACCAGCTTGCTATATAGTTTATTTTTTCAAGAATTAAGTACAGCTTCAACGCCCAGCCGGCGGTGTTAATACACTCGATTGAAGTTATCCATTTGTGGTTATTTAGTTATATAAGAAAAGGTCTTTCTAGACAGCTTAATCAAGTAACTACCTTAGCTATTATAAATTGGTCTATTATAAAGCTAGTTTTATCAAAATTAAAGATATCTTCTCCAAGAATTCCGTATATGGAGTAATCAGAAGTTATATTTCAATCTAATCTTAACTGTACAGTTAAAACTCTTTGATATCTCAGCCTAACCGCTAGGTTATGGTCAGGTTAAGGTTAAGGTATAACAGTCAGGTTAAGCCACTCTAGTATATATACACGTCTAATATCAGGCAAATATTGCTAGATCCTATCTAAATAATACTTATATTGTACCATAATAGTTTAACATCTATCTACATATTGGGTACGACGGACAGATATATACAATACCTGCTAGCGTATTTACAGAACTCCCTATCTCGCTGACTGCCACTGTGAGACGAAGTCTAGGCTAGGTCGCGAAGCCGCACACATAGCAACAGATCTCAGAACGCGAGTTAACACGCACCACTTCCTATCAACTATGCAATAGTGTCATTAACCCTAGGAGCCTCGTCAGAATGCATCCTGCAGCTTGTTTGTCCCAATCGCGATATCCCGTACGGGAAGGTTTTCTAACATGATGACGAGGTCTAGCGATGGAAGCACATTCAAACAGGATACCGCACTCGCCACGAGTACTGCTCGATTGTCCGGAGGAAATCCGGATTTCGACGCTCGCGCGCGCAAGTCTTCGCCCACCGGAACAGACGTTCGACCACCGGCCACGGCTCGCGCCGCGTCTCCAGCTCCTGAAAGACCATCTCATCTAGGTCGGGGTGCCGGCCGATCAGGTTGAGATCGAACCGCGAGACGGTGTGGTAGCGCGTGGCTTGCGGGAGGCTTTGCGGCGGCAACAAGTTGGCACCGCGCTCAAGCAGCATGCGCATGCGTAAGCGACCGTGCTGGGGCTCTCCGCGCGAGTAGCAACGATCAGCTAGAAGCGTCAGCGCCGTCTCGCGGGAGATGATCTCGTTGATATCCAGACCAGCCTGGAGGAGAAGATCGAGGATGGTTGCGGCGTCCGCATCCGCCGCGTTCGTGCACGACGCCAGACCCAGCAGATGGACGGTGGGCGGCGGCAACTGGGGCCCTCGGACTGGAAGAAACCCCCGATCTAACAGCCACCGCAAGGTCTGGATCTCACCGGCCTCGGCGGCTATTCCAAGGGCCTTTTCGCGGGAGGATAAGTCTAAATTGGTGGGCAAGAGTAAGCTATCCCATTTCCCGGCGGCGAGGAGAAGCTCGAGGACTGCACGTCCCCCGCGCACGGCTTCGTGCAACAGGTTGGAGTGAGTTAAGTAGAGCGAGAGATCCAGACCCTCATCAATGAGCATTTGGACGACTGCCGTCCGGCCGGATCTTAGGGCATGGCCGATAACTGAGATGTTTATACTGTCGACGGCGGTAGGGTCAGCTCCGGCGGCAAGCAGGCGGCGAAAGATACCCTCGAATGGAATGGCATGCTTCAATGCCGGAGCCACCGTGCGGTCAAAGTCAGAACCTAGATCCCGGTCATTAGGATCTGCCCCGGCGCGCAGGAATAAAGAGACCATGTACTCCGAACCGTGAAGAATAGCCTGGACGAAAGGCTTCCGCCGAGGTGTCCATCCCTGAGCCGGCAGTATCTCAGCATCATGCGCGAGGAGCACCTCCACCACCTCTACGCGGCCTTGGGCGGCAGCCCAGCAAAGAGCCGTCGGCAGTCCATCCAACCGCGATCGAACCATATTTAATCGAGTATTGGGGTCGTACCCATGCTTTTCAAGCAGGTCCCGAACCAGGGCCGTATACCCATGCCCCGCAGCCACGCAGAGGAGTGCACCCTTGTCTGCTGGGTGAGTCGTCCTCGCTACGTAGTCCCATTTCTTTAGAAGCAGAGCGACTACCTCATCGTGCTTGTACCATCCGCTCCATTCAAGGGGGCAGATTGCCGCGTGATGCCGCACCGACGGCCCCGACTCATGGCAACTCAACCGTGTGATCACATCCTCCCCAAGCAGGGACCGGACGCTCTCGACGTGCCCACCACCCGCTGCCCAGCACAGAGCGGAACAGCCGTTTGATTGCGTCACAGTGGGATCAGCGCCCCGTTGCATCAAGAACTGTAGAACATCCCGATGCCCGTTCGCCGCGACTAACATGAGTGGGGTCATTTGACTGCGATTCTGAGCCTCGAGATTCGCTCCCGCATCAACCAGCAGGCGCACTATGGCCAGATGGCCCCCTTTCGCAGCCCTCATCAGCGGCGTTTCTCCCTCCGACGAGGCCGGACTGTCGACATGGTACGGCCGCGGGAGGTGATCCATGAAGAAACGAACGAGGCTTTCATGGCCGGACTCGGCGGCCAGCAGCAGCAGACTGCCGGGATCTTTGCCATACGACTCATGACGAGGATTTCGCCAGCCCCATGTGCGACGAATATTGACTCGACCTTGTTTATACAGGTACCGGACAATGTCCTCGTGGCCCTGAATCACCGCCAGCGCCATGGGTCGCCAATCGACCCCAGGGTCGCACTCTTCGGGAGTGGCGCCGGCCTCGACAGATTGTCGCACGGTCGCAAACAGTCCGTGCTTGATTCCCCAACCTAAAGCCGAGCTATTCCCAAGGCGCACGTTGTGTCGGTACAGCATGGGGTTTACAGTCTGGTAGAAAAACCTCTGGGTGCGAGCGAGGGCATTGATGTCACTTTCATATTTCAACCAGCTCACAATTTGCTCAACAAGCTCAAGAGGTAAGATTGAAGCCATTGAATGTTGTTGCATTCGATCTTGATGGCCCAGTGAAGCCGAGGTTGAAGAGCACGCTTTTGGTGTTAGAAGTGCTCGAGATGGAGCAGGGTGGGGTAGAATAAATACTTCCAGTTAACCTCGAAATACTCAAGTAAATTATGTGGTTGGTTGCGTGGTTGGTTGCTTGGTCTTGCTGACTAACCAACATCTTGCTTGTTCATCCCTGCCGAGGTTTGATTGAGGGCAGGACGGAGGAGTTAGGGTTAGAATACTTGTAAAGCTCATAGGAGAAAACACACTAGTCTCCAGATAGGATTGAAACATGTATTTGGAGAATAAATGGTTTGCTCAAGGGGATCTACTGCTTGCTAGGTCTTAAGCAGTGGGATGTATTCTCCCCTTGGTGAACAGGAATTCTCGCTACAGTAGCATTTTAAAACACACGGCCAACACTTATGTACAGCACATACAAGAAAGAATTTTCCATGCCATTGTCAAGACCAATATCCCAGCTTCATCTGACTCGAGTAGCTGACTTTTTGTGCTTTCCTGACTTGGTCAACGTGACTAGACCCCGTGCTTCGGACGAGTCAATTCTCCATAACGGACCTGTAACCTCCCCCCCAAATATCTACCTTGCATGCCCATGTCGGTGGTGACTGCCGGCATAGCGCTTATGCTTTCTGAGATGTTCAGCATCGATAGTAGCACCAGGTGTCTAGAAGTTAGGATCGGATCAGATTAGCAATGACCACTAATGCTTCAAGCCCAAAAGAGATAGAACTTACTACTGATGCCTCGTGTGATGAAGGAACTGCCGCATGGGATCCCGAGAGACTTGCCGTGGGCGAGCTGGACGACGGATTCATCGAGACCGACGTCAGTCGTGATGCCGCTGCGTTGATCGTGGAGTTCAGGGGATCAGTATCTCCGCACACGCCGTAGGAAAAAGTCGGGTTGCTCGCGGTAGCCAGTGCGGGCCG